CATTGCACAAAAAAAGACTGTTTTATATTAAAAACAACAAGATGTTATATATATAATCTATATTGGAATCACTCTTTACTCTCCATTAGGAGTCTATTTTTGTATAGATGTAAGAGTCTTACTTTCAAAAGGATGAAAACAAAGCTTTTTATAGATTATTGGTATCTGTCGATATAAAAAATATCTCTTTACAAACATATTTTCCATTTAAAAATTTTTAATATAAAAGGACACCTTTTTATTTATGCCCTTTCCAACCATTGTCTTCTTTCTTTTATTTTGAAAATTTCTCCAACACTAAGAAAGGGCAAAATAAAACAGTAGTTAGGACTTAAGAAATTGACAAAATGTTATGAATTAAATTGAGTAATTAAGGGAGGCCTGCAAGTGCAAATGGTGATACGAAGTTATACCACGGTTTTACCTACTGTGACTATAATACTGGGGCTTTTTTTTATTTTTGAACAATTACAATTTGGGGTAGGAGGGTGGAAAATTTTAGTATATTAATGTCACAGCTCGAAACTCAGTCCTTGTTAAAATATTAAATACTCCTAACAATTGATTTTATGTGGCTTACTGCTGTAGTATTGGGGCTTTAGAACTATTAATCGTGTCATTCTGCAGGCGACAGAATTTTTGCCTTTGGAAGAGTTCATAAGAGAGGAAATGTGTGGATAAAAGTGCGAAATTTATTATTTTTTATTTAATAATGTAAATTTTATTAGTTTTTAAATAAAATAATAAAATTTTAATTTTTTTATCTAATTATGTTAATTTTTTATTTTTTATTTAAAAATTAATTAAATAATTTTAAATTTTATTTATTATATCAATATCACTATTTAATTAGTTATTAAATTAAAAATATAAAATTAATATTTTTAAATAAAAAATTTAATATTTACTACCTTCTTTAAACATTGAAAAATTCTCATTCTTAAATAATAAAAAAAAAGATAATATTTACATCATTATCTTTTTTCCTTTTTTTTTTGGTTCATGAGAGCATGTCCAATGTTCTTTTTCATTTTTCTTTTCTCAAAAGAGAACAACGATCGATCATTTGTCCATTTTCTTTTGTTTTCTTGCATACTTTTTGTTAATCCAACGGTTTCTGTTTAAACCGTTGGATCAACAATAAAAATGTTTGGGAATTATTTTTTAATATAAGTTGAATAAATTAATATTAATATAATTTATTAAAAAATTTTATTTACACGTATGCATTAAAGATAGAGTGTTATATTTAAAGATTATACATATAAAAAAATCTACATAATAATATTAATTATAATAATATAATAATAATAAAAATTCCATTATTCTTCATTGTACATGCCGAAAGAGCTTGGTCCCTCCCCTTCTAGAATAAAAGGCTTTGTTTGGGAGGGGTTAAAACCAATTATGGTTGGTCCCCCTACTTTGCCATTTCATTCATAACTATTCTTGTACTTAGGAACGGGTCATTGGGACCTTTCTACTTGAATTAAAGATTCATTAGAGCTTAGAGGTCCCTCCACTTGAAAAAGACCACAGATGGTTGGGATCAATAACAAGCATTAAGGGTGTAGAGTTTTGCATTAAACTACAGCGTTAGTTGATAGTTCTACTTTTATTATTTTTATTTGAGTAATGATCTGGAAGTAAATTTTTTTACTAACTTTTCTATATAAATTTATGTTATTAAATGATAGAGTGAAAAGAATATATTATTAAATGACATATAAGACGGTAGGAAAAAATCATGTAGAGAACTTATCTCTTAATCACTTTCTCTTCTATTTTTCAATTTTCAAACGTGGGTTAATGGGTTAAATTATAAGTGTGTGACTCCGTAATCAAACATTAAAGAAACAAATAAAGATATATATATATATATATATATATATATGGGAAAAGGGAAAATTAGAACGTTATGACATTAAAAGTGTCAGGACGTCTAATTATAATCACTTGATATGTAGAGCATGATGTGAATTCTCATTTTATTAAATTTATCATGTGGATATTATTGGATGTCCTAACACTTTTAATGATAGGACGTTTTGATTTTCCCTTTTCCCTGCATATATATGGTCAATTCATTTATACATAAATGTTACACATTACACTTATATAAAATCTTAATTATTTATCTTTTCACTTTAATAGTTGAGATTTATCATAACTTTTCAAATAAAAAGAATAATTATTTTTAATAAATGTGAATAAATCTCAATCATTAAAAGT